TCACTCATAATGATTATGAAGGCATTGTCTCCGGTTCCACAACCCTAATGATTCAATTAACAGGGCAGCTGGGGCCGAGTCCACGTTGGAAACTTCAACTGAGGCTGACCAGTTGCAGTTATTTATGTGTCATGTGGGAAAAACAAAAGGGTTTTTCGGGCACTGAGAACTTTTCCATATCCCAGCCCCTTTGTTTTCACAGCTCTGACTCCGGACTGCGTTTTCTCGTCCTGCGGCATGAGAGGATGTGCGGATGTGAGGATGTGTGGTCATCCAAAAGGGTGGCTGCAGTGCCACAGGAAGCTGCTTAAAATCAGGTAAAACTCATGTGCCAGCTCGAACAAATAAATGGTATTAAAAAATCGGAGAAAACTTTAATTCTGCTTGCAGAGATGCTGCTGTTTGGGTGGGAAACTCCAGGTGAAAGTTCGTTACATCTTTTTAGGTGAAACCCAACTCGATTTTTCCTAGCCCGGTTACGTCTGAGGTTTTCCTAGACTTCATTCGGTTGCCGGCTGTTTGCAAATGTTGTCTGTTAAATGCATTTCTTATTGGCGCTAACCAACTTGAGACTCCAGTTTGGCTTTCGTGTTACTAATTGCATTTAAAGTGCTAATAAGCTGGGTGTAAATTGCTGTTACACATTACTATTGCCAGCACTTTAAATGAACTTCATTCACGGCTATGCACGGGTATTTCGAAAATATTGCTAATGCCGAGTTTATGTTTGGGCAATTAAATTTGCACATCGTTACAATGGCCAAGTTTAATGAAGTTTCCGTCTCTAATTTGATTTTGCATTGCTCAATCTGCTTCGTTTCGTGTTCAATAATTTATTGTTGCCATGAATCCTTCCCATGACAAATCCGGCTATGTCCTGCTGCTAAACTCCGCTGAAGACGACATAAGAATCCTATTAACTAGCCGCCGCAAATTCAAATATTTTAGCCCAGACAACGAATTCGCAGGAATGCGTCCATACAAAATTAAGTCGACGAACTGAGGGAAGCGACGGGACATTTGTTTGAGCAAATCAATTAGTCACAATGGCCCTCGGAGGCAGGACAATGGGTCTCTCTACAGAGAAGTGTCCCTTTCTGCGGAGTGCGGCATTTTGGACGACGGCTTCCTGGCCATAAGGGCGTTAATTATCGGGCAGACGTTTAATGAATGCACCCGGGGAGAAGCCGAGCTCACGTAATTTAAATTTGCTTAAGGAGATTGCGTGTGTTTTGTTTGGTGCCATGGTGTTATGACTTCTTGCCGCTAGCTCATCGCTTAGTTAGAGCAGCGAGTGTCCCTGGAACCGCACAGCCCTCCACCTCCGGCCAGTTTAGTTTCCGCTTCCTGTCTGGGCGATGTCGCATCCTTCGAGCAATTAGTGGAGCGATGGGCGCACAGGAAGTCTGATTCGGAGTGCCGGCACCATCGAGGGTGAACCATAACTTCTGGACTTACACGAATCTTGGATTTAATTTGGCAGTTGCACATCTGTTTTTCTTCTTTTTTTGTGCTAGATCCCAATTTTATATGGCCATAAAGTGCGATTTCGGCATGCCCATCGAATGATTTTATATCACTTTCGGCAGCTGGACACTATGAAGGCCATTATAAAATCGTTTATGGGCTTTGACAATTGATTGATATATGGCAGAGGGGGCCATGTTCAAACAACATAATGTCTTATTCGGCCCAAATTCCCACAAAGGCGCCGGCGCAAAAGTATTAGCTTTCAGCAGCGAAATTACCATATGAATTCGAGGGGATTAGGGTAAGCCCAGTAGCCGAAAGTATCGAATGTCCTGGCTGGCAATTATAAGACTTTACCTAATTACAAAAGATAGTTTCGCCTAAGAGATGAAAACATAAAATGCGTGATTGATGCGCTGACAACAGAGACCAAAAAATACAAGAAGCACAACAAAAAATGTATACAAAATTATATTAAAAGAGGGAAAAACTCGCAGAAAACTTTTAACCGATGTCAAGCCAAGTTTTGCCTGCCACCCGGGAAAACCCGGCCGCAGCTGCCGAGGAAAACTCTGCGCCTCTCATATGCAAATCAGTCTAACCGTCAGTTCATCACCCTCGTCCTGCCGATCCTGCAATTTGAGTAAGCGAGTGACATAATTCCCGACAGCGTGACCAACTTTGATTGATCTGCAGATCGGCGAAAGCGAAAGCCGCGTCCAAAGGCGACAGGCATGGCGAATCGGAAAACTGGTACTGGGCCACTTTCTCTTTGTCCTCGCCAGGATCTGCCTGCAAAAGTGTCAGAAATTCGGAAATCACCGGGATTGATCACTCGAGTTTCTAAGACGATGTAGAGCGTGGCTTTTGCATAATTTAGTTCGGGTTTACAAGAGTCTTACAAGGGGATTTATGGGAAATGGCCTAGTTATGGGAAAGTCGGGATTCATGTTTGTACCTTTGTCACAACAGGGGCTAAAAAAGTATACATATATATATATAGTATTATTATTATAATTATATATTATTATAATATATATTATTTTGCATTGTGTGTTTCTAGCAGAAATCGTGTTTCTGTACTAAGTATTAGTTCGAACAGATATTACCCTTTTATATCTAAATTCAATAAGCTAATTAGGTCATGGACTCCATTCTAAAGCGACCTATCAGTTTTCCCTTTAGCGGACCAGCACATTGACCCGGAAAAGCCGATCCGATTCGAACAGAGGATTATGCAAACATTTGCGGGAAAGTGTCATTAGTCAATGGTCCCATATTTGAACTCTGACCACAGAGCAGTGTTAAGTGGACAAAATGCCAGCAGAAATTGCGGAAAAATCACAGCGATTTCTCAGGGAAAACCGCAAGTTGAGACAACCCCTAGAAAGTAGAAAGCAGCATCTGAGAGTGAAACAGCGAAAGGTGAAAAGCCGGATACCTAGGAGAACCCCTGCGAGAAGGTACGTGGAACTACCCGGGTGAAAATTTCGCAAGTCGCTTACCCAAAAATGGCATAAACAATCTCATTGTGCGCACTCGAACCAAATGATGTGTGAGATATCAATTGTCACATCGACAATGGAAAGTGACAGATCGGTATCTGAAACGTTCGTAATAAAATTAGAAGTTTATTGATTTGTCCTGACACTTTGGCAGAGGAGCGGAGTCCGGGTTGCGAAAGGGAACTCTCGAGCCTCGCATCTGGGACAGATTGATGTCTGCTCTCGCATTATCAATGGGAGTGTCCTTTCTCCACTCCCTGCGTCCTGGTTACCCCTTGCTGAGGCTCCTGCTCCTGCTCCTGCTTCTGATGTCCTATAAAAATTATAAGCAATTACATACAAGGAATTTCCGTTGGCTGGTCATAAAGTATGCAACTTTACGAGCCCAGTAAATATTTTGATGGCCGAAATTCGCTAAAAAGTTCATTTTCGTGTCATTTTTCGCTGACTTTGAACCATTTTCCGACGCTTGGAGTCTGACTCCACTGACAAATGGATCCAAACATCCTGCTGACCAGCCACGCCCTAATGCTGTAGATGCCACTCACTTTCCGTTTTCAAAGAGACCATTAGCCTCATGAGTTGCATTTCCCTTAAAACTCTTCCATGTTTGTACTAATTATTATTAATGCGTTTTCAAACCAATGCCTAAAAGGGAAAACGCTCAATGATCTGTGTGTTTGTGGGCTAGTTCAGAAAATGCGGGACAGTGGGTTATGAGAACAAACGGTTTTGAGATTACGATCCTCTGGGATCAAATGACAATTGAAAATGGGCTTCGGAAGTGAAATACTAAGTGCAACGTATTGAAATTATTAATGTATTAGAATTTAAGTATTTTAAGTGTTTCCTAGATCTCTCTTTGGGCTTAAGGATGTCCTTTGTGGCGGCATTAGCATACATTTTCTTTTTCTGAGGAACTTTCTTTGTGCATACACCTAATTAGCATGTGCTTCGACAATGTCTTCAAGCAACTACCACATCACACATTGTCAAGTCAAACTCTTGAGGAAATCCGTTTAATTTCCCCCAAACCTCAAGACACGGAACAATTTTCTTGCCCGGGCAGCGGCGCACTGGAAATAATATTATTGTAACCATAAATGATTCAAATTCTAAATGTGGAGTCAACATTGTAAGAAGACAATGTGCCCAAGGCTTCCCAGAGAACTGTGTAATGAACACAAGTTGCAAGAACAACTTAAGCAGACTTTTCTCCCAGTGCACTGCCTCTTGAGCTGATTTTCCTGCGTTTTGTGCGAAAGTGAAATCGACTCGATTGCGGGCGTGCCACGTTAGTCCTGCGTTCGCCGTCGACTCCTGCTGCTGGTTTTTGTGTCCTGGGCCGCACAATTGGTTGAGGGGAAGTCAGAGGATTGCCAAAAGGTGTTGGTAGATGCTTCTTATCCGCAGCATTGTGTTAGCCTGCTTGTGTATGCACAGGTGTCATCCTACAGGTGAAATGGATCCTCTCGAGGGCAGAGAACTCGTGCCGTGCCAGGGCGTCTCCATTGTTCGGCCGCATAATGAAAGCAAAGCGTTCTGAAATATGAATTGAATCTGCTGGAGTGCATTTAATATACATTACGCTCCACCCTCCTTGGCACCTTGCTAATATCCTGGCGCTCCTTTGGCCAACAAAGTTGCGAGTAGTTTGGCATCTTCCGCTGTTTGCCGAAAAAAGTTCGGGTACGCGGGCCATACAATATCCGCTGAAACGTTTAAGTGAGATTAACAAGTGATGACGGATACCGACTTTGGCACAATCAGGATGCCACCCAGGACCTTGGGGCTGTGTGCTTTCTATTAAATTAAAAGTGGCAAAGGAAAAGCGGCGAGGCAACGGGGAACTCTTTATTGGGCAACTCGACTTTCGGCTCAGGAGCAGAGTGCTTTGTCATGTGATAAGAAAGCGTTCCGGAAATCCCAAGTAAATATTGCGAAGAATTCACGATGCAGAGCTAAAAATATAAAACAGTTGTATGGCACAAGTATCGATCCAATTCATTGTACTATATACGTGCATATATTTTTAATAATATACTACTTAACATACTTGCTCTTCTGGGAATGCGAACTGATTACATGGAACGATAAGCGTGTGCTATTGACATTAGAGTGCACTTTCAGACACTCAGTTTCCCATCAGAGCTTGGACCATGAACATTCCTCCTGCGATCTTTGCCCTAGTTTGGGGCATCCTCTGCCTGAGCTACCCACCTCCATCTGAGGCCGGAATGGTGGATTGGACAGCAGGCAAGCGGCTGGTCTACGAGAGGTTGACACAACAGGATTGCGGTGTCCTGACGGATCTGCTTCCCAACCAAAGGATACGTCGGCGGATCACCGGTGGCAGGAAGTCGTCGCTAATGTCCCAGCCTTGGATGGCATTTCTCCATATTCCAAATGATATGTGCCAAACGTGCCGCTGTGGAGGGACTCTTATCTCAGATCGTATGTATACTAACATAACCAAAATCACTTCCCCCCAGTTCATAGTATTCATTTTCTTTGTTTTAGGCTTTGTTTTAACTGCCGCGCATTGCCTTAAAATATATCCCCTATCTACGGAGTAAGTACCACTTGTTTGATTCTTTTCGGGCTCTGATTCTTTTCTGATTCTGCATCTTAAACAGGATCAAAGTTCGCCTGGGAGAGCTCGACATCAGCTCCACAAGTGACTGCACCACCTACAATGATAGGCGGATTTGCGCTCCGCCCGTGGAGGAGTTTACGGTCGAGAAGTGGATCCTGCACGAGGAGTTCAACATCTTTTACCCCGGCTATGATATTGCCCTGATAAAGCTGGACAGGAAAGTGGTCTTTAAAGGTACGAGTTCCCAAGTTAAGCATACCAATATATTGTATCATCTAAAACTATGCTCTTGCAGACCACATTCGACCCATATGCCTGCCCCTGACCGACGAACTCCTGGCGTTTACTATGGAGATGGGAAGACCCTACCTGGCTGTGGGCTGGGGGAAAACGGAGAGCCGCCAGTTCGCCAACGGCACTATGGAGGTCTATATAAACACTGAGAAGTGCTCCGGCGGCTGGGACAGTTCGTTCCTCTGCGCCAATGGAGATTATGTAGACACGTGCACTGGGGACTCCGGTGGACCGCTGACATGGTCGACCTTGTTATTCGGCAAGGCTCGAACGGTACAATTTGGTGTGGTCAGCACTGGAGGCAAGGATTGCGGCGGTGGCCAAAAGGCGTACTACCTGGATGTACCCACCTTTGTGCCCTGGATACTCGCCATGATGGAAAAGTTCTCCGATTTTTAAGCAAACTCGGTTAAATATGTAAATACTGCATAATTTTCGGTTCTTTTCGGTTATTTAAAGTCTACAATTAGTAAAAGCTGACAGTTAAGGCTAAGAGATCAAGTAGCTCAAGTTTTTTGTGTCGTTCAGATCGGTAGTCGCATTACGGAAATAGGAAAAGTGGCATTTAGTGTTTTAAAGCCAATTACATAAAATGAGTCATGAGTTTGGAGTACTTTGTCTGGGACACTCGGACTCGGTGGTGGAGCTAGCCTATAATAAGGACTACGACAATGGGTACATTCTGGCCTCAGCTGGAATGGATGGAGTTGCAACACTGCGGCACGGCGACACTGGCCACTGGATCACCAACCTAACGAAGCACATGGACAGTGTGTGGTCGGTGTCCTTGAGCCACGATGCCAAGATCCTGGCCAGTGGCGGTGCAGACTGCAAAGTTCGGGTCTGGGATGCACTGCTGGGCAAACAGCTAAAGAAGCTAACGCACAGGAATACAGTGGCGTGTGTGGACTTGAATTCGCAGGCCACTCGCCTGTTGACCGGCTGCATCGGTGAGGAATCCTCACTCGCCCTCTTCGACGTGGAACAATCGGACACAGCTCCCCTGATGGAGTTCCATGGCCACAGTTGCGGTGTGAGGGATGTGACCTTCTGTGTGGAGGAACGATGCATCCTCTCCGCCTCCTATGATCGCACGGTGAGGATGTGGGACTGCCTGAGCGGCGAGAGAACGAACTCCATCTTCCTGCCGCACCACGTCAAGTCAATGGAGCTGCACCACAGCGGCAACATAGTGACCATTGCCTATGCCGGCGGTGTGATCTTCCTGGACCCCAACAGACTCGAAGTGCTCAAGCACCGCAAGTTGCCCTACAAGGTGACTGCGGCCTCGCTGAGTCCCAACAAGGACGTCTACGTGTGCGGCAACAACAAGGGCTACTCCTACAAGTACGACTATGCCACCGATGTGAATATGCAGTTCTACGTATCTGAGAAACCATCCGCTGTGCTGACCACGAGATTCAGTCCGGATGGCGAAGTGTGTGCCATTGGCTTCGCAGATGGCAGTGTCATTCTCTGGCGAATGAGCCGGAAAAGGGCATCCGTAGAAGGAGCGGATGGAGAGGAGAATGAATCTATCAATTGAATACGGAATGAAACACCCCATGCACAACTGTACACCGTTTTGATTTCAGTTCTCATATTGGTTAATTTATTTTTGTTTTTTTCGTTCTGTTGCATCGTTTTCCATCATCAAAATCCGAGATGGGTCACTGTTTCGTTTCCCTACTAATAAATTCGTCTTGTGATTGAAAACCCCCAAGTGACCGAGCGGTCTACCTGCCTTTTATGGCTATCTGGCTATCGGACTCCCTTTTACAACCTGTTTTTTGGATGATTTTCGAAAGGATTTCGTTGAACGTTGAACGATCGCCGACCCTGATTGCCTCGCTGCTTTATGGAGTTTCTCACCCAATGCAGTCGAGTCATAAATGCGTTTTTTATTATTTGAGTTCGGTTGGGGATGGGGATGGGGAGTCCCTAAAGTCTTCTAATACACCGAATATGTATCCAAAAAGTGACTGAGGTTTCCTCCTTTCTTGGGGTAGTTCTGCGCGAGATAGCCCGATAGCATGTTCAAATAGACACCAGGAGATACATCTCTCACTGATCTGCTTTCCTGACCTAAGATACTTTGGGTTTGACAACTTCTTGACTCCATGCCTCTGTTTGTTTATCTTTCTTTGGGTCCGCGTTCGCTCAAAAGGTTTTCCATAAATATTTATAATTTCTTGGCTGATAAAACGAGTTCCTCGCATCATGCTGAGCCAACGTATTTTCCAAAACACGTTTTCCACGCGTTTACCAGGAACAGGGAACCGTTTCACACAACCTCCTTGTCTGTTTGTCCACCGAGAGACTGTTCTAATAAAATGAGTTGTCATGCTAGTTCCCCATATTGGTCAGCACAAGTGCCTTTTCCATGATTGATAGCTTGGATGGAAAGTAGCACAGTAGCCGCAGGATCAGCAAAGGATTAGCCTGTACGGTAGCCAGTCCAAATATTTGCATACTTGCCCGACTATTTGCATTCCACTTTAAAGGAAATCCATCAATAACTACCGATTCGACCGCAATTTGTCCGAGCAAAAGATCCAAGATACCCGAAAGTCATTTATAAATGTCCTGCGCAGAGATTTGGTAATATTAATGATTGGTCATTTGCCAGGGAGAAATGCTTGGTAACACTTCGAGTAGATCGTCTGGCCTGTGTTTTAGGTATTTTTGTGTTTTGATTGTGGTTGAGCTGTATAAATGGCTTTCCTGCTCAGATGGCCATTGGAGTAATTAATGCCGGGATCCTAACTCAAGTTATCCCGAAAAAGTATCATGTTATTAAAATCCAATTTTTTGATTTCCAGTTTTCTAGGGTTTTTAACGTCAGTTTCTGTGCATACTATTCAAAGGCCCGTTCCTTCTCTATTAAAAGTTATTAGTTCTTAGTGGGCCACTCCCACAACAAGTTGGGTTGAACACCCCTGACATATCCTTGATCGCAGCACACCTGCCTAGCAAATTTTCCAAATTTGCGGTCACAGTTCCGTGCGCCGAACAGTTTTTATGGTAATTTTCTTACGGAACCGAGAATGTTTCAAAAATATCTTACGGCAATTTCGAGCGTTACTTAGAGGGCTGGTCATGCTCGCTGAGCATTTGCACCCCCACCGGAACACGTGGCGGATCGGGCCAGGTTCTTGGCTATGTGCTGCCATATAGAGTGGGATATCTCTGGCCTCCTCCTGGGGTGGAATGGGCTGGCTCGATTGTCCGCTGTGTGCTGAGGCGATAAGACGCGTTGCATTCGAAATGAGTGTAACGTATATTTTATACGAGACCAGACAGGACTGGGCTTTTGTTGAGGTTTTAGTAGATAGGTATAATGTAATGTGGAGATAATGTTCTACCGACCGCGACCTTTGACTAGGAAACACTGATGAGGTTTGCCTAGGTCTTATCGGCTCGGAGGGGCAATAGTTATGTGCATATTAGGGAAGTCCGATAAGAGCCAGGTCGATCCTACCAGCATTTAAGACTCCAATCAAGCGAATACCTTGAGTGCCATCCAATGCCCGCACGTTCCACGACAATCCTTTAGGATCTGCCCTCATAAGCGGGACACTTGAGAACCGCTTTTCCACCTCTTTTCTCCGCCTTTTATTTTCGTTTTTCCGCGTGTGTTGACACAACCCATATAAAGCATATAGTTGCCAGGATATCCTGCTCGAGAGGAAATTACTTAAAGGGATCACGAACTCTTCCCCTTTCGAAAAACTCCTTCTTGAGTTGTTTATGTTTTCAGGCATGACTGCCACCGAACGCCAGTAGAATTCTCAAATTTGTTACAAAGTGTGTAAATTCACGTTGCTTTTCTCCTTGAGGGAGGGTGTGTCCCATAAACAGAAAACCGAACCACAAGGGATCGGATCTTATGGGAGTGGAAAGGAACGAATTATGGATGGATGATGCTGCCTAATCGAACGGTCGTCAAACGATCTCTGCCTTTTTTGGGGTGATTGCACTCCGTTTTTTCTTGTTTTTTTTTCTCGGGTTTTTGTGTGGAAAGCCAATGGGTTTTCCCATTATTTCGTCGAGTGCAAAGGACAAAGCAAATGATGTCTTTAGTCAACGAATCTGACTTCCAAGGCTTTGTCCCTATTCTTTCCTTCTTATTTAATTGGATTTGTGCAAACAATATAAATCTCGTTTTATTGCCGTTGGTTGTGTAATTTAATTTTTTACGATTTTGCACATGAAAAGAAAAAATTTTTCTGAAAATGCAGCACGAAATGAGCAGAAAACTTGGGTTATAAAAAAAGTGTACCATAACGGAAATCTTAAATACCGAATGCTATGCAAACACCACATAGAAATTCGAAGTCGACGTGTATGTGATGTACATGTGAAGATACAAATGTATATTTAGTGGACCAGTGCCCCACAATGCAAGCGCGATTTTCCCCTTGGCAAAACGAGGAAAGTGAAAAGAATCGGTGCCCCAAATGCCCCTGCCACGCCCCTTTCAACGGCCAAAATCCAGTTTGAGGCCAAACAAACCGAAACCAAAACATAATTTTTTTCGTATCTTCCCATCGCAGTCGCAACTAAAAGTACAGCTCCACCGATGCAACAACAAAAAAGAAGAAGGCAACGAACAGAACTCACGGATGGAAATGGACAGGGATGGGTAGATGGCGTGCGAGAGAGTGGGAGATACAGGGTGAGAGAGGGAAAAGGGAAGTTGGGCCGACATTCTTAATACGCTTTATTACAGGACTTTGTCACCGCAAATACAAGGTACACCATTTACAAATGTAAATTATTTCCTTTTTTCTTGTCCTTTGAAATTAATTGTAAATATTATTTAAAATATTAAATAAAAATTAAATATTAGTTTATTACAGTAATCTTAGGGAAGTGCATTGCTCTTTCGATATGCTTAACTTATAAAAGCGCATTTAAACGCAACCGTCGGGCTCTCTTTCCCCATCTCTGTCGCTCCTGCTGTTTCTCCGATCGTTTTGAATTCGAGGGTTGCTGCACAGAGAGCGCGAACCGCTCTGCATTTCCAGTTGGCAACGCCTATGGTGGTTGTTTGACGTTTGCTTTTGCGGAGTGTTTTATTTATCATTTTATTCGTTTCTCCGAGTTCGTCGAGAGAGGTTCTCCCCGATCGGTAGCGCTATATTTAAAAACCTGGTGCGCAGTGCGCTAATACCCGAATAGGTCAACAAACAGCGCTGTTACAACGACTGCAAGTTCTAAAGACAAACATAACACAAAAGAGCTGCCACGGGCAGCTATCTCATAGAAAACTCCAACGAGAAACACAAACGTTTAGTTCTGTGAGTGGAATTGCAGTGAAGTGTGTTCATATTCACCATTCGAAGACAGTGACCAAGTGCTATTAGACCAAGGCCTTTGCATATAAATATTTTATAAACAATTGCAGCGTGAAATTTCACTTTTGAAGGCAGCAAGACGTAAAATAAGCTGTAGCACACGCACACACACAAAACACTCGCTCTCCCGCATACAC